AGAGATGATGCTCCTTGTTTGTTGTGTGGGTGTCTATTTTTGTCAGTTAGGTTGACGGTTGGACAAGATGATCTTTAAGGTCCCTTCCAACCTAGAAGATTCTGTGATTCTGTGATGGGGCTGCAAACAACAGCAGGGCTCCTGCAGCACCCCAGGAGCAGACCCAGAGGTTTTGCTCCTCGTGGCAAGCAGCGAGCGGGCTGTGCACGTGCCAGCGGTGGCCTGGGCAAGTGGGTGGCTTGAGCTGTGCTAGGGTGATTAGCATCAATTAATTAAAGATGAGCAGGAGCCACCATCTGCTGCCAGAGTGTCTGGGAGCACCAGGGCTGCTGCTGCGGGAGAAGATGGGACAGCAGGTTCCTGCCAGAGGAGGATGAGGATGGAGCGCAATGCCAAGTCACACTCCCGGCTGTCTGCCACCCTTGGCATCACGAGCTGACCCCTGCAGCCATAAACCCAATGCAAAGGGATCAACCCCATCACTGTCTGCCCAAGCGTGGATGTGCCAAAAGCCCCTGCTGGGGCTTCCTCCTGGGCTCCTGGCCTCGAGAGGAACCTGTGGCCAAGGCCACCGAGAAGCTGGGCAGCCCACTTGATTTTGGGCTGGCAGCTGCGGGCTGCACGGCAGCGGCTGCATTTCTCACCAGTACCTGACATGGGGAAGCAGAGTGATGGCTGGTCTGTGGAGGGACAGCAGCTGGGGACCCCCATCCTGCTGGACCCCCAGCAGCACTACTCCCTCCTTGTTACTTAACCGTGCGGCAATAATTCCCCCCCAGCTGCAGAGGCGCCTGGCTTCGGATTAACGCCATCCACGCCGACTAATCCAGATCAGAGGAGGAAGACCTGGAGCTCTGAGGGGCTTTGGGAAATCAGAAGCACCGGCTGCGGGCTTTTACGTAAGGCTGCTGCGGTGTGTGGTGCCGGAGGCTGAGCCGGGACATTGCCAAACACACTGGCACTGGCACACAAGGAGCTCTGCCAGCACCGGGGGAGAGTTGTATTTTGGAAGATCATAGAATCATAGAATCGTCTAGGTTGGAAGAGACCCTTGGGATCATCGAGTCCAACCATCGACCCTACTCTACAAAGTCCTCCCCTACACCATGTCCCTCAGCACTGCATCTAAACGGCCCTTAAACCCAGCCAGGGATGGTGACTCCACCCCCTCCCTGGGCAGCCTGTTCCAATGCCCGACCACTCTTTCGGTGAAAAATTCCTTCCTAATGTTCAATCTAAACCTACCCTGTTGGAGCTTGAAGCCATTCCCTCTCGTTCTGTCCCTAACTACCTGTGAGAAGAGACCAGCACCAACCAGATATGTGTGTTCACCGGTGACCAGCTTCCTGGGAGGCTCCCCGGGTTCCCTTTGGAGGGCAGAGCCCATGAACAAGGGCACTGATTTGGGAGGACGCGAGGAACCCCGTGGCCATTCCTCGGGAAGAGAGGACACTGTCCATCAGGAGCCAGGGATGAAGCTGGGCCCCCACACACTCCAGCAGCATCCTGCCCTGCTGGAAGTGGTGACTTGAGCTGTGCTTCACGCAGCGCACGGACCCGGAGGCCATTTATTAAACAGGAAAAAGGAAGAAGCCCTCTCTCATTTCCCTATTATTTTTAACACCACGCTGCATCCCCCCCCCCCAGTTTCCTTCCCCGGTGCTTGGTTTGGAGCACGGCGTGAGCACGGGAAGGGATGTGCTCTGTCCGTCCCACCACTGATTTCTCTGCGGGGGGAAATATCTGCCACCCCACCTGGGCAAGTTCCCCCGGGCTGAATCCATGCAGTCAGGGTTAAACCGAGCTGAAGCTACCCGTAATGCAACCTGCTCTCCATCCTTACCATGGTTCTGCACCTGGGCCGGAACAATCCTCGCCACCAATACAAACTAGGGGGTGAGGTATTAGAAAGCAGCCCTGAGGAAAGGGACTTGGGGGTTCTGGTGGATGAGAAGCTGGACATGAGCAGGCAGTGGGCACTCACAGCCCAGAAGGCCAATCCCATCCTGGGCTGCATCAAAAGATGTGTTGCCAGCAGGTCCAGAGAGGGGATTCTGCCACTTTGCTCTGGTGAGACCTCACCTGGAGTATTGTGTGCAGGTCTGGAGCCCTCAATATAAGAAGGACATGGACCTGATGGAGAGGGTCCAGAGGAGGGCCACAAGGATGATCAGGGGGTTGGAGCACCTCTGCTACGAGGACAGGCTGAGGGAGCTGGGGTTGTTCAGCCTGAAGAAGAGGAGGCTCCGGGGAGACCTAATAGCAGCCTTCCAGTACCTGAAGGGAGCCTACAGGAAGGCTGGGGAGAGGCTGTTTAGAAAGGCCTGCAGTGACAGGACGAGGGGCAATGGCTTCAAGCTGGAGGGGAACAGATTTAGATTGGAGATTAGGGGAGGGCTCTTTACTGTGAGGGTGGTGGAGCACTGGAACAGGTTGCCCAGGGAGGTGGTTGAGGCCCCTTCCCTGGAGATATTCAAGGAGAGGCTCGACGAGGCCCTGGGCAACCTGGTCTAGTTGGGGGTGTCCCTGCTGACTGCGGGGAGGGGGGACTAGATGGCCTTTGGAGGTCCCTTCCAGCCTGGGCAATTCTATGATTCTATGCTCCTCAGACTCTATGGCTCTTGTGAACAGTACGGGCCTCAGGGGCCCTATTAAGAGCCTAACGAAGGGCTGCAAACAGCTCAGGATTAGGTGCTGGGGGTGGCTGCTCCACCATCCCCCCTCCCCCAAGCCAAACAGTAGGCATCCAGGTGGGGCTGCCACCTCCTCCTTCTCTTCCACCCACCAGCGGGAAGGTCACAGTTCACGTGTCCCCCCTGACCTTGGCAGAAATAGCACACACTAATCTGCAAACTAAGCAGCTCTCCTGTGTGCAATTAAAGAAATCACAAGTCCCGGCCCCAGGCAACGTGTGCTGACAGCTAAAGCCCTGGGAGGTGGAGCTGGTGGGGCTGGCGTGCTGTGGTGGCTCCTGGTGGCCCCCAGACACAGGTGGGCTGCATTTGGGAGGGATTGGTAGCCAGGTGATGAAGGTGGTTGAGCTGATCTAGGGTGCTGGGAGGAGGGTGCTGGCAAGTCTGGGATGGAGTGGTGAGCAGAGGCATCCTGACCTTGGTGCTCAGCTCCCAGAACCAAGTAGGTGCTCAAAGCAAAGGGTCTGGCCAAGGAAGCCAGGGCTTGAGGGATGCTGAAGGTGAGGAAGAGGCCTTGCTGGAGAAGTCTGCAGGCTGTCCTGGGCTCTCCTTGCGATCCGTGCCCTGTCATTAGGGCCAACCCAGGGGTAGCATCCACATGAGCATCCTGCAGCCCCCCACCCTGCGAGAGGGGGGTCCTGCGTGCCAGCTGCTGCTGAGGAAGGACAGTAGCGTGGAGTGTTTCTCTCCCAGCCAGCCGTAAGGCAAATCCACTCTGCGCTTTCAATGGTTTTCTATTTGCAGCAGCAGCAAACCTTGAATTAATGATGTGCTAATCGGGTCAGGAGAGGCCAGCCCGCGGCGTTATGAAATGATGCGGGGCTGAGCAGGTTGCCCAGGTGGTGCTGGAGGATGGTGGCAGGTGCATGTCCCACCACTGAGGATTGGCTATCCTTTCCCTGATGCTTTGGAAGGGGGGGGGGCAAAGCCTGGCATAGGAGTTGCCACTGCAGCCCCGAGCCTTGCGTGTGCAGCCCTGTGTGCGGCCCTGAAGAGAAGTACTTTGGGGTGTTGGTGGATGAGAAGCTCAACATGAGCCGGCAACGTGCACTGGCAGCTCAGAAAGCCAACCCCATCCTGGGCTGCATCAAAAGAAGCGTGGCCAGCAGGATGAGGGAGGTGATTCTGCCCCTCTACTCTGCACTCATGAGACCCCACCTGGACTCCTGTGTCCAGCTTTGGAGTCCTCAACATAGGAAGAACATGGACCTGTTGGAAAGGGTCCAGAGGAAGGCCACGAAGATGATCAGAGGGCTGGAGCACCTCTCCTATGAGGACAGGCTGAGAGAGCTGGGGTTGTTCAGCCTGGAGAAGAGAAGGCTGCGGGGAGACCTTATAACAGCCTTTCAATATCTGAAGGGAGCTACAGGAGAGCTGGGGAGGGACTCTTTGTCAGGAAGTGTAGTGAAAGGACAAGGGGTAATAGTTAAAATTGGAAGAGGGGAGATTTAGATTAGATACTAGAAAGAAATTCTTTATAGTGAGGGTGGTGAGAGCCTGGAACAGGTTGCCCAGAGAAGCTGTGGCTGCCCCATCCCTGGAGGGGTTCAAGGCCAGGCTGGATGGGGCTTGGAGCAACCTGGTCTGGTGGGAGGTGTCCCTGCCCAGGGCAGGGGGGTTGGAACTAGATGATCTTCAAGGTCCTTTCCAACCCCAACCATTCTATGCTTCTATGATTCTATTGCCCCATCATCTTCTACACCAGCCTCCCCATGACAAGGGTGTCCCATGTGCCCTGGACCACCGCAGGTCACCTCTAGGTGACTAGCCAATGGGCACACTGGCTATGGAAGAAGCTGCCTGCACCTCCTGTCCATCTGTCAGCCATCCAGCAAAGTGCGTAAGGGAGGGAAAAAACCCAGCAGGTTCCTCTTTCCCCTCTGCCATCTCCCTCTACCCTCGTGGCCAGGGCTGGCCCAGCCCTGCTTGCCATGGGAGCAGTTGTAGAGAGCCCCCGTGGGAATTTGCACCCCTGGCCATGCCCCTGCCTTCACCCCTGCCCACCGGGAGCAGAGCTTCCACCTCAATTACCATCACCTTCCTCCTAAGCCCGCTTTACCAATCTCTGTAAGCTGCTTTCTTCAGGGCTCCGGCAGCGGCCGTATTTATAGCCCACTCTTACTCATGAAGCGTCTCCCCAGTTAATAAGCTAATAGGATTCTTCACCAAAGCACCTCTCCCACGGTACACACACACCCCCCCTGCATCTCCAGCCAAAGCTGGGTGAGATCAGATGCCAGGGGAGGGACCACCCCGGGGTGGTATAAGAAGCTGCGGGGCTGGGAGCAGCCCGTAGTGACTGGGTGGCAGTGGGACGTGCTGGAAGAAGAGGAGAGCGTCTGTCTGTCCGTGTACTCCCTCAGGTGAGTGCTGCCTGCTCTGCTGCCTGGGGCCCTGCCAGTGATTTGGGGCACGGATTCTGCTGGTTTCGTAAAAACACTTGGGGGTAGGGATGTTGGTGCAAGACTGTGGCTGGAAGGAGAGTGGTTTGGGGTTGAAAGGGGGAAAAATGTGGCTAAAAGGATTTCAGCGTGGCCAAGCCAGAGGGCACGGATGGAGGGGTTGGGTAGTGGCACAGCAGAGCTTAGCCAAGCCTGGAGGGGGCTCAGTCCCTTCTCTGGGGCTTGGGAGATGCAGAGGAGGAGTTCAGCTCTTTTCTCCTCCACTTTTCATCACCTCATCCCAAATTCCTGGGCTCTGGAGAGGGCTGAGCCCATGGCACCATTCTGCTCCCACTCCCTTTGCACCTTCCCTGCCACTGCCCAAGAAACCTGCAGGCGAAGGTGCCCGAGCTCCACATCCAGCAGCACCTGAGGGCATCAAAAACCCTGCATTTGGGACAAATCCCTTATTTTCCCATAGCGAAGAGGATCATCTCCTCCTCCTGTATCAGTTTCTTCTTTCTCCCCAGCATCCTTGTGGTTGCATAAAGAGGCAACTCTGCCCACGTGCCCTTGGGGCTTAAAATCCTGCCTGGGCTTAAGCTCTGCTAATGTCAGAGCTGCCTAACTTTAAGAAGCTGAGCTCATCCTGTCTAATCTCCCAGCGAATCAGCTGGCGATCAGCGCAATATTTACGGTTTAATTCTGGACACCAGGCTTGAGCAAGCAAAACACAGGCAGCAGAGTCAGGCAGGGCTGGGCATTGCCCTCCCAGAGCCAGCTCTGGTGCTGCCGGCCAGCAATGGGGATGGAGGGGCTGTGGGTTGGGGATGTGCACCCCGAGACTCCCCTCCTGCCCCCAGGGTGGTTAAGCTCTCCTTGACCTTTCTGCCTGTGGTTTCCTCACTTTCCTGACTGATGGGATAAAACAAGCCCGTTCCTGCCGTTAAGCCGTGACAGCCAATTTCCTGCAGACAAGAAAAATTCATAAAATTGAACCTCCGTTCATTTTCTTGCCTTTCCCAGCCTTGAACTCGCTTCCCTTGGGAGTCACCCCTGTGCTTCCTATTTTCTGAAGCCTGTGCCTGGGCCATCGCTCTCCCTTTTTTCTCTTCCACCTCTTCTTCACTGCCTTTTTAGCTGGGGGGAAAGGGGTTTGCTTGGCTCAGGTGCCCTGCTGGGTTTCCAGCCAATACCACGTGCCCTGAAGCCAGGCAGCTCCAGTTGAATCTGGAGCATCCCAGCTCTGCCAGGGCAAAAGGCCCAGCAGTGCCACAGCCCGAGGGCTCTGCACTTCCAGTTCCTTGGGAGGTGAATGATTTTGTCCCACTGGCTGGTGACAGCCCCTTCCCCACCGTCTCACCCAGCACTTCCCCTCCATCTCTCCTTGTAGATCCCCGCCTGCGTGGCTGCTGACTTAAAATGGCAGATGGATCAAAGTAAGTGTCTTTTTTTTCCTTTTTTTTTTTTTTTAATTATTTTTTATGTTATTGGGATGGAGGAGGGCACTGCATGGCAGGAGCAGAAGGAGAAAGTGAGCTCCCTGACTCCCCCCACATGCTGCCCCCATGTGCCAGTACCTGAGCTGGCTGTAGAGAGATGGAGTCTCCTCCTCTCTTTTCTCCTCTCTTTTCTCCTCTCTTTTCTCCTCTCTTTTCTCCTCTCTTTTCTCCTCTCTTTTCTCCTCTCTTTTCTCCTCTCTTTTCTCCTCTCTTTTCTCCTCTCTTTTCTTCATGCTGGTACTTTCTCACTCGCCTTTAAGACACAACCAGTTAACACAACCCCTCCTCAATGGTCACACACTGAGCTCAGGAGCATTCCCTGGGGCAAGTTTGACTCTGAATTTGCAGGACACTGACTTTCCCAAGGCCAGGATGTCCCTTGCACAGGCAGAGCTCTTGGAGATGCACCGTGCTCGCAGGGAAGCCCTCTCCCTCCCTTGCCCCATGGAGACCAATGGCTGCTCCCTCCCTCCCTGTCCCAGGAGTGGGCTGTGCTGCATCCAGCCTCATCCAGGGCATTCCCAACTCCTCTCTCTGTGTTTCCTTCGCAGGGTGTTCAAGAAGACCAGCCCCAATGGCAAGGTGAGTCCACGCACGCAGAGACAGGACCGTGTGCCCCATCCCTGGGACTCCTCTGAGGTTGCTCTGCCCACGGGATGGGACACAAACTGGATTCCCTTCCCTTTGAAATCTGATTGATTTCTGCTATTCCCACCACGATGCCACTGCAGGGCTTGCTTTTTAAAATAGAAATTTAAACAAAGGACATCTATATGGACCTTTAAATGCAATGTCTGGTCCAACATGCTAACAGGAGGGTTAACAAGCCCCGTGTCACAACCCAGGGTTTGAAAATTTTTGGCCAATACAATGGCAAACACTAACCTGTTCCCCTCTTTCCTTTGACTGTGTGCTGCCTCCAGCTATCCATCTACCTGGGAAAGAGAGACTTTGTGGATCACGTGGAGTCGGTGGACGCTGTAGGTGAGTGGGGCTGTTCCCACCACGGAGGGAGAATCATGGGCAGCAAGTGGTCCAGGGGGGACCAGTCCCTGCACTGGTGGCTGCTCACCTCTGCTTCCCACCAAAGCAGAAGGAGCAATGGCAGCTCTGGAGGAGCAAACGTCCCATTTTCCTGCAAATCCCCTTACAGAAAAATGGTGGGGAAAGGGACAAAGTCCCTTTGCCAAACAACCCAGTCCCACTGCTGGTGGTGATGCTGAAGAGGCATCGCCATCCCGCTGACCAGCAGCTCCCCTCGGTCACCTTCCCAGCCAGTGAGCAGATGATTTAACTTTTGAAAATGCTGTGTTTTTGCAAGGATCTTCCCTGGTGGCTGAGCTCACTGGCCCTTCTTCTCTGCTTGTTTGCAGATGGTGTCTGCCTGATCGACCCAGAGTACCTAAAGGACAGAAAAGGTATTAAGACACAAACCCCCCGCGTTATAAGGGGAAGGGGTGGAAACCAGTTCAAAGCTCACAAGCAACCTGGGACTGTAGTCAAGTTAAATCTGCGACAGGTTGTCTACAGCTCAGGGCGTCGGTGGCTGGCCTGGCAAGGAAAGCTGCCTCTTTCTTCTCATCTTTTCTGCCTGGGGCACTGGTGGTGAAGCTACCCGTGCCTCGTAGAGAGATGTGATAAATCTTGTCAACTTGGTGTTTGAGGTCTAGGTCCTGATAACAGGGTCGTATTTCTCCTAAAGAGTTATTAAAGTAGTTTTTCTTTCTTTGTTGTTTTCTCAACCTCTTTTCCCCCTTTTCCTCACCCTTCCCCTAACCCCACTCCTCTGTTTCCATCTGCCTTCAGTGTACGTCACGCTGACCTGTGCGTTTCGCTACGGCCGAGATGACCTCGACGTTATCGGCTTGACCTTCAGGAAGGACCTCTACGTCCTGACCACCCAGATCTTCCCGCCGGTACCAGATCAAGTACCCAAAACCCTCACTCCTTTACAGGAAAAGCTGATGAAGAAGCTTGGGGAGAACGCCTACCCCTTCACCTTTGAGGTAGAGGCTGCTCAGCCCTTCCCAATCACACACCTTCCATGATGTGCACCAGGGATTATCTCTGGGCATGCTCTTTATTTACTTTTTTGTCTCTCTTTCTCTATTCTGCCCAGATTGCCACCAACTTGCCCTGCTCCGTCACCCTGCAGCCGGGACCAGATGATGTGGGAAAGGTGAGCTGCTGTCCCTCATCTGTGTCCCCTGGACACATTCTCCTTGGCAGGGGGTTAAGTTGCAGGGTGGCAAAAATGAGAGCTGCTTCCTTTTCCTGGGGAGGTGGCCCATGGGGTGAGGGTTGGGGAGGAAGGATGGCTGGACTCAGGACCAGGATCTCTGGGGATGCAGTGGAGAGGGAAAGAAGGGAATGGACCTGAACTTCAGGCAGCTCTTGAGCCCCTCCTGCTTAGTGACCATGCGTGTCCCCCCAGGCCTGCGGCGTGGACTTTGAGGTCAAAGGATTTTGTGCTGAAAATCTGGAGGAGAAAATTCACAAGAGGTATTTGTAGGAGATCCCTTTCCTTCCTCGTGGCCCTAAAATTGAACCACCAGATGGTTTTGGGGTGGCCAGCTTAGGGGTCCGGCCGAGGACCTCCTGTCAGCCTGTGCCCCGCTTGGATTGGGTACTGTATGCGAAGGGGGGGCAGTGGTCCCCATGTCAGTGCCCACCACGTCCTAAGAGCAGGCTGCAGCTTGCATCCTCTGGCTAGAGGCACTGTGATGTCCCCAAAGGCAGCCGATGTGTCCCCCTTGAAAGCTGTGTCAACACATCCCTGCTGAGGGGACGGGGGGTGAACACTTCTCACCCCGCAGGAACTCGGTGCGCCTCATCATCCGCAAGATCCAGTTTGCACCCATGAAAACGGGGCCAGCCCCAAAGTCGGAGACCACCCGGCAGTTCATGATGTCTGACAAGCCCCTGCACCTCGAAGCCTCCCTGGATAAAGAGGTCAGTATGTGGAGGCTGTCCCCTGGCTCGTGCCACCACGGGTCCCCAGCAACGGGGACTGGGATGGCCAGTCGTGTAACCGAGCCTTTCCCACCACAGATCTACTACCATGGAGACCCCATCAACGTGACCGTCAACATCAACAACACCACCAACAAAATTGTGAAAAAAATTAAGATTTCTGGTGAGAGGGAGCAGGAGGGGCACATCCTGGGACCCACCACATCCCAGCCTCCCCGCCCGAGGTGGGGACTGCGTGCCTGTGCCTCTGCCGTGTCACCAACGCTGCACCCTCTTGTCTCTCCTCAGTTGATCAGATCACAGACGTGGTCCTCTATTCGCTGGATAAATACACCAAGACTGTGTGCACCGAGGAGATAAAGTAAGTAAAAAAGGGGCCGGGGGTGGCGCAGCATCGCGGCCAGAGGGAGGAAGAGAGAGCAGGAGGAGGAGGAGGAGGGGAGAGTGATGGGGAGAGGGGGTGGGGAGGACGGTTTTACATCAGGCAGCAAAAATATCAGGGTTAGAAGAGCAGATGCAGAGGAAGCAGAGGGAAGGCTGTGGACACTGTGTCCCCCCCCCAGCAGCGCAAGCCGGTGTCGGGCTGAGGAGGTCCCTGGGGGAAGGTGCACAGCTGCCCCCAGACTGCTTCCTCTCCTCGCTTTGCATCTCTGAGGGCAGCCACAGCCTCTGCGTCCCTGGGAAGGAGGAGGGCTGCAGCGAAGGCGGAGGGTAGAAAAAAAAAAGAAGTGGTTGTATAAGGGAACAAAAGGAGGAAACGGAACCAGGCAGCTGCGTGAGGAGGGCAGGGCAGGGGGATGTCTGGCTTTGCCCAGGTGCCTGGCGTGATGCTGAGCGTCCCGGATGGGTGCTGAGCACCCACCAGGCTGGTGCTGGCTCTGAAACTCTCCTCTCCCACTCCTTCCAGTGAGAATGTGGCGGCCAACTCCACCTTCTCCAAAACGTACTCCGTCACCCCCACGCTCTCAGCCAACCGTGAGAAGCGTGGCCTCGCTCTCGATGGCAAACTCAAGCACGAGGACACCAACCTGGCCTCCACCACCATGTAAGATCTGGGCAGGTTCCCCTCCTCCCCTGCCATGGCCAGACCCATGCCTTCACCCCACTCCCACAGCTTCCTGCTGCTCAGGATGTTCTGAGCTCCCACCAAGGGTCTCTTGCACCTCCTGTGCCTGAGCCCACTCCTTCCAGCTGGAAAACGTAGGGATTTTGTCACGTGGCCACAGATCCACCTCTCCATCTTGTAGGAGAGACATAGCCTGCCAGTCCCACCCATCGTCCAAAGCCCCGGTACCCCTCTGCTGAGCTGCATTGAGTCTTGTCTTGGGAGTAAATCCCAGCTCAAGCAGCTCAAGTGGCCTCCAGAAACTGTTCTGTGGCTTCAGCCAAGTCACCTGCCCTCCCCTCTCTTTTACTGCCATGTTGTGTTGTCCTCTCTTGCTAAACCCCAGTGCACCCCACATGAAATGGGGCACGGAGACAGCCCCAGGAACTGCTGCAGGGGAGCAGAAGGGGTTCTGTGAGCAGCACTGCCCACCTCACCGCTCTGCTCTGCCTTTCTCCTAGCCTGAGACCCGGCATGGACAAGGAGGTGCTGGGCATCCTGGTGTCCTACAAAGTGAAGGTCAACCTGGTGGTGTCCAGAGGAGGGTGAGGTTCTGTGGGCATGGGGGTAGGGACCATCCCCTTGGGCTGTGGGATCTTGTACCACCGGGCAGATGACTCATGCCATGGGCCCCCTTGTCCCTGCCCCACTCCCCTGGGCTGTGGGGCAGCTGGGTGCTGGGCTGTTCTCTGGCTCCCAACCCTCCAGCCCCATCACCCTTGATTCCTGTTATAAATAATCTTCTACATGATTCTAAAGCAAAGACTAAAACCTTCCCTCCTCTGCCTTGGCTGATTTCTGTCCCTTCTCTCCCACTGCTGCAGCATCCTGGGGGATCTCACTTCCAGGTAAGGGGGGAGCTTCCTGTGGGGCCAAGCACAGCGCGGCGCTGGGCAAGTTTATTGAAAGAAGTGCTTTTTCTTGTAGTGATGTTGGTGTTGAGCTGCCTGTCATCCTGATGCACCCGAAGCCTGCGGACAGTAAGTAATGCCTGGGTCAGGGGAGGAAGAGGCAGTCCCTGTTCAGAAGGGAAAACTGGGAAAAGCCACTGGCTGATGCAGCCACCTCCATGCAAAGGGCCTCGCTTTTCCCCAGCGTCACTGGCTGTGGGACAGGCAGAGTCACCCTCTGTCTGGGACCAGCATGGTGCTCCCCACAGCACCGTGGTTGCCGCCCATCCTAGCATCTCTTTCCAGAAAAACACCTGAGCATTAAGAAGAGATGTTAGTTGCCATGTAGTATTGTGTCCAGTTTTGGGCACCTCAATACAAGAGAGATCTGGAGGTGCTGGAGCGAGTGCAGAGGAGGGCAACGAAGCTGGTGAGGGGGCTGGAAAACAAATCGTATGAGGAGCGGCTGAGGGAGTTGGGACTGTTTAGTATGAGGAAGAGGAGGCTGAGGGGAGACCTCATCACTCTCTACAACTTCGTGAAAGGACACTGTAGAGAGGTTGGTGCTGGTCTCTTCTCACAGGTAATTAGTGACAGAACAAGAGGGAATGGCTTCAAGCTCCAACAGGGGAGGTTTAGATTGAACATTAGGAAAGAATTTGTCACCGAAAGAGTGACAGGGCATTGGAACAGGCTGCCCAGGGAGGGGGTGGAGTCACCATCCCTGGCTGTTTAGATGCAGTGCTGAGGGACATGGTGTAGGGGAGGACTTTGTAGAGTAGGGGAGATGGTTGGACTCGATGATCCCAAGGGTCTCTTCCAACCTAGACAATTCTACGATTCTATGATTCTATGTCCTTTCTCTATTAACCTGCATGTGTATCTCTTGCCTCCCCGTGCTTTGCTTATCCATGGACTACAGATAAACCAAGGTAAAGAGATATTTGCTTATATTCAAGCCACTGTTTCCTCTAGCACATAAACCATACAGATCCATCCCAGATGGATGTGACGCCCGGCTTGAGGTTACATCCTTGGATTAAATCATCCAGGCCTCAAAGTCCTGAGCCCCTGTGTCACGACAGCCAGCATGACACCCTCCGTGGTGGCACAGGCAGGAGGAGCGTTGTCACGGGCTGGGAGGATTCAAATCGCACAGGTTCTGCGAATTTCCAGGGCTTATTTTACAACTCCACAAGTGCCACCACTGGACATAACATCCCCTACAGCTTTGGTCCCCATCCGCCTCACGCTGAGGTCCCTCAGCTGTTGGAAGCAGTGCTGGTCACATCCCTTTTGCCCCTTCATGCTCCCCAGTGCCAGAGCCCTCTTCTCCTCCCACCACATCAGCTTATTCCAGCTGAAGCCACAGCTGGGGTTGCTTCCCTCCGGGAAGCCGCAGCATGCCAAACCCATTCCTGGCAGCCGTGCCTGGCAGCCACAGCCGCCAACCAGCCCCGCAGCCGGCCCTGGCTTGCAAAGGCCCAAAAAGCTGTTTTTTTGTGTCTGGTTACACCCTGCAATGGGACACGAGCACTGGGATTTGGAGCCTGGAAACTCAGGCTGCAACTGCAGAGCTTTCACATCGAAGCCTATCAGTTTCCCAGCTCAGTGAGGATATTTAAACTTCCAGAACAGGAAATCTCTTGGCCTGTCCCCACCATCGCTCCCTGTAGATTTTGCCAAGTCGTTTCACATTTGCAGGCTTTTGGAATCAGTTTTGCTGATTCTTTTTTTCCGTTTTCTTCCCCCACTTTTCATTTTGTGGCTCTCCCTTGATGTCATCTGCTGCTTGCCTTTTGCAAGGAGGTAACTAATCTCTTCGTCTCCACTTTAATTTCTTTTCCTTCCCTTTTTTCCCTTGACAATGCAAAATATTGTCTTTAAAAATGCCAAAAGTTGCAGTTGCTCTCGCCCAGCTCCTCCAGTCACGCACGCTTGCAGCCAAGCCAGCAATCCATCCTGGATTTGTGTGCTCGGGTTAGGCCATGGCTCACAGTGACCTGGCTGTTCCCTGAAGTGTGAGGGGTGACAGGGCGAGGGCGAGTACCAGCAGGATTTGGGCACTGTCCCCTAGTAGGAACAGGGTTTGGGTGTCAGTAGGGATTTCGCCCTCTCTGCTGAGGTGCACATCAGGCAGCCGGACGATGGGCTCACTACGCTCTGCTCTCCTTTCCAGTGAGGAGGACATTGTCATTGAGGAATTCGCTCGCCAAAAACTCAAGGGGGAGAAAGACGACGAAGACGAGAAGGAGGAGGCTGACAAAGAGGAAAGCTAACCTGCTGCCTGCTCGCACGGACAGCCACCGGTCCCACGCGCCCCAGTTTGGGCCATAGATGCCCGTAGCGTGTTCCCTGCTGTACTGCACGCAGTGCAGACACCTCAGCCCTCTACGCGCAGTGCGATGTGTTCCCCTAGGTCCACCTTCCTACCCCGGGCTCCTCACTCTGACTCCAAGCCCTGGTTGCGATGGCGGGAGCCGCTGCATCTCCTCCCGGTACCGCCACGTTGGAAAAGCCCGACTGCGTGCAGGACAGTGCTCCCACCTCCTTGCACCCATGGCCGCCTTCGAGGGGACAGGGCCAGGGAGGGCGCAGCGGAGCCCAGCCAAGCGCCGTCACCAGCGTGTTTGTCGTTTGCCTCCGTTATGCAATCCTTTGTGACACCGTTTTAAATAAACCCGCCCCAGTGGCCCGGTGCAGGCTCCGTGTGGTGATGCTGGGGCGCGGGGGCCCACCCTGGGGGACGGGGGAGAGAGCTCGAAGCGGGCAGCCGGTGCCTCAGGCTGCGGCAGGCCTCGGCGGGAGGGCGAGGCGTTGGGGAAGCCGTGGGCGGCCGGTCCTGGCCGGTCTCCCCCGGTACAGGCCTGGTCTCCCCTGGTAGAGGCCTGGCCCCCCGGTAGAGGCCTGCCCCCCCCTGTACAGGCCGCAGCGGAGGCCTCTCCCGGCCAGGCCCCCGGAGGCCGGCCCGTCGCTATGGCAACCGCCCGCCCCGGGGGCGGTGCGGGGTGACGCGGCGGTTGACGGCGGCGGAAGTGACGCGCAGCGCGGCAGGCGGGGCGGCGGCGGTGCCCGGTGTGCGCTCGGCGGTGTCTCCTTCTCCTCAGTCACGGCTCCGGCTCGGCCTCCCCGCGCCGCCATGTCCGCCCCTGGCAGCGGCGGCGAGTTCGGGAACCCGCTGAGGAAATTCAAGCTCGTCTTCCTGGGCGAGCAGAGCGGTGAGCGGCGGGGGGCG